TGAGTGTTGATAGTTGATCCAAGAAGAATGAAGTCCTTGACAACTTCAATCTTTTCTCCATTGATAAGAATGTAGTTTTTTGGTCCAGTGGTGAGGATTTTTGTTTTTCTTATATTGAGTTGCAACCCATACAGAAGGCTGTGCTCTTTGATCTTCAACCGTATTTTAAGTCCTCTTCACTTTCAGCAAGCAAGGTTGTATCATCTGCATATTGCAGATTGTTAATGAGTCTTCCTCCAATTTTGATGCCACGTTTTTCTTCATAGAACCCAGCTTCTTGGATTATTTGCTCAGCATACAGGTTGAATAAGTATGGTGAAAGAATACAACCCTGAAAAAAAAGAGTTATCTGATACAATTTGATGAACTTGACCTACACCTATGGATGCAGTAGCTCAAAAGAGGAAACAAATCCTTACAGCAAGAATCATTCCCACCTCCTCCACACACAGAGTAGACAGGGATGGGCAACTTGGACATTGGCTATCCAAAATGAGGGGAGGGCTGCAAAGACAAGAAGTGACTGGCTTACAAGCTTTCAAGAGAGAACCTAGATCCAGAGGGTGTGAAAAAAGAATACAACACTGTCGCACATGGGTGGCGCTGTGGGTTAATGAGCCAGACTGTAATGCCAGTAGAACTTCAAGGTCGGCCGTTCAAACTCACCAGTAGCTCCTCAGAAACCCTATACAGGGTGGCTATGTGTCGGAATAGACTCCACAGCACTTAATAGCAATTAACCATAGGAGACAAAGAAGCGCAGTATTTGCTTTAAAATAAACCTCAGAAGGCAGGAAGGGGCAGAGATGAAGGATGAATGGACCCAGGGAACCCAGGGAGGCAAGGGGGAAGGGTGGTTTTACATTGAGGTGATTGTAGCCAATGTCACGAAGCCAAATGTGTATCAATTGTTGAATGGGAAACTAATTTGTCCTGTAAACTTTCACCCAAACCACAATTAGTAAAATTAAAAAGAAGAAGGGATCGACAAGCTGAGAGAGGTCGGGGAGTGGCCCCAAGCCATCCAAACAGGGAAATGGTGGTGGTGGCTGTGTGCGGTGGAGTCGGTTCCAACTCATAGCGACCCTGTGCAGGGTTTCCGAGGCTGTAAATCTTTACGGGAGTAGAAAGCCTCATCTTTCTCCTAGGGGAACGCTGGTAGTTTCAAGCTGCTGACCTTGAGGTTAGCAGCCCGATTCGTAACCACTAAGCTACTAGAGCTCCTTAAACTGGGAAAGGTGGAGGCCAAATCCGAGTCTCCCCACTCGAAGCCCATGCGCTTGCCACCCTCACTGTCCACCAGGGGGCGCCAGAGACCGGGTGCCCAGTTTGGGGAAGGGGGAGCACCTGGTCCCGCCCCCCCCCGCCCCACCCTCCCCTCCGCCGGGCTCCGGGCCCCACCCGGCTCAGACAGCTCCGGACAGGACCGTGAGCACAAGCCGTTCCGCGGGCACCTCTGATCCCAGCGGGACCCCCGCCCAGCCATCCGCACACCCGGCCAGGCCAGAGGCCAGCGCGCCCCGTCGGTGAGTGGCCCGGGTCCCTGGCCCGCGGAGCTCCCCTTCCTGTCTAGGTCTGTCCTGGCTCCCTAAACACCGGCTCACTCAAAGTCTCTAAGTATCCCCAGTCTGTAACGGTCTCTCCCAGTCTCCCCAGTCCCTACTAGTCTGCCTCACTTTCCCTCACTCCACCTAGTCGGTAACCTTGTTACCACTCTCTCCAGCCCGTCTCAGCCTCTCCAGTACCCCCATCTCACCCTGTCTGTCCTGTCTCATCCAGTATCCTTTCTCCCCACTCTCTTCATCCCTCTCCTCTCCTCCCAGCCTCTCCTACTTCTCCAGCCTGCACCGTTCCCTCCTAACCCCCTCTGTTAGCCTGGGAGATGCCCTCATTTAGAATTTCACCCTCTACTGCTCCCATCTCTGTCCCACTTGGCCCCTCCTAGAGCTGCCTGGGAACTTTCCCTTGATCCCCTTCTTGTGTTCACATCCCATGCTAGTTTTCCATTTTTTTTCCCTTCCTAATTAGGATTTCATGGATTTTTAGCCTATTTGATGTGCTATGATTTTTAATACTCAAATGATTTAGTCTTCGGCCACTGTCTGGATCTGTGTCCTTGTGTTACGTCCCCAGCAATCCGTGAGCACTTTTTTACTATCAAATCCAAGATCACACATTCTTTCCCTACCTCAGCCCTGCAGAGTCAGTCATTTCCCCACAGAAGCCATGGTTTCTTTTAGTGAGGAATGGTATTTAGAGATTACAGTATAACCAAAATCAGGCCCTTTGAAAAGATAAGTAAAATTGATAAGCATCTAGGTAACCAATTAAGGAAAAAGGAGCTAGAAAAAGCAAAGAGGAATTGCTAATATTAGGAATGAAAGAGGGGATATCACTACATACAGATCCTCTAGACACTAAAGGGCAGTGAAGGAATGTAGAGAACATAGTCTAGGTGTTGGGGGTGCTCATTGTTACTGGGTTGTTAATTGTTTCTCTCCCAAACCTTAGCTTTATCATCTGGTCATCTGAGGTCAGATTGCCTAGATATGAATCTCAATTTGACCACATTCTAGCTAAGTGATCTTGCAGAAGTTATTATCTTCCTGAGCCTCCATAAGAAAAAAAAAAAAATGAGAATAATGGTAGACCTACCTTCTAGAGCTGTTATGAAGCTTAAATGTGTGAATTCATGCAAAGTGCTTAGGGCAGTGTCTGGCATGTAGTAATCATAAATGGTAAGTTATTATTTTTGTCAATGCCCAAGGCTCTTATATCCAAGGCTCCTCATGACCTGGGTGTATTCAGACAACCTCCTCAGACTAATTTCTCATCCTTCCTCTGTGTGCCTTTTTCATAGACATTTCATCGTTCTCACCATCCAAGGGCCTGCCAGGTCTTTGCACAAACTATTCTTTTTGCCCAAATGCTTCCTTTCCTTCCCACCCTTCATGGAGCATCTCAAAAGTGAGCCCAGCATCAAGTTTCATGGATCCTGTGGTCAGTTCATCATGCCCTCTCTGGGTACCCACATATCCACTGCCTAGCTTTTCTCAGGCATCATTGACTGCTCTGTGCTAAGGGCCTCTCCTAGCTGAGGGTCTGGGCAGGTGGGGTCTGGTCTGTGGTTCATTTCTGGCTTTATAGCTCCTGACACACAATGACTTTAGCAGACATTTGTCAAATGATGGAAGAGAAGGTGGGAGAAGATAAGAATGAAGAAATGAAGAAATGCATGTCTTCCAGTCCAGTTGGAGACCAACCTTCCTTTGGTTTCCATCCACAAATCCCCTCTACGTCCATTAACCTCTTCCTCTTCTTCCAGCTAGTCCACTCAAACCCTCTTTTTCCTTCTTTAGCCATCTCATCCATCCACTCCACTGTTATTGCCTCTACCCTTCTCCACCAATTCCACCATTTCTGTCTCCACCATCCATATCACCATTAGTTTTCCGTGCTCCTCCTCTCTACCCATTCCATGATCAGTGGTCCTCTTTCCCCTCCTCTTCCTCCAGCCATTTCTTCATCAATGCCCCCATCTTCCTTCATTCTTTCTACCTTCAATCTCCTTTCTCCACCCTCCTCTGCCAGGCAGCCTTCATTAATGCCTTTTCCTCCTCTTCCCTACTCATTCTACCATCAATGTTCCCTTCCTCCTCCTCCACTCACCCCTCCTTCAAGTCTTCTCCCCCACCCCTCCCTCCATCATGCTCTTGCATCTTCTTCCTTCATCCATTCCCCCACCAACATTCCCATCATCCTCCATCTACTTTTGGTCTCCCATCTTCTTCTTCCAGACAGTTCATCATGAATATTTTTTCCATCACTGTTAGGTAGTCCATCATCAATGTTCCTCTCCTTCTTCCCCATCCATTCTCCCATCAATGCCCCCATCTTTTCCCAGATAGCCTACCATCAATGTGCTCTCCTCCTCCTCCCGCAGGTAGCTCTCCATCCACCTATCCCTCTCCAGAAGCCCAGTGGAAAGCGAGCACCATGTTTAGCTGGCTGAAGCGGGGTGGGGCACGGGGCCAGCAGCCAGAGGCCATCCGCACGGTCACCTCATCCCTCAAGGATCTGTACCGCTCCAAACTGCTGCCCCTGGAGGAGCACTACCGTTTTGGCTCCTTCCACTCACCTGCTCTCGAGGATGCCGACTTCGACGGCAAGCCCATGGTGTTGGTGGCCGGCCAGTACAGCACGGGCAAGACCAGCTTCATCCAGTACCTTCTGGAGCAGGAGGTGCCTGGCTCCCGCGTAGGCCCTGAGCCTACCACCGACTGCTTCGTTGCTGTCATGCATGGTGACACCGAGGGGACCGTGCCTGGCAACGCCCTTGTCGTCGACCCTGAGAAGCCTTTCCGCAAACTCAACCCCTTTGGGAACACCTTCCTCAATAGGTGCGTGGCATACCCCATGCGCAATGGCATTTCTTATCTTTTCAACCATAATTCTCTTTTATCTATCTGATTCTCCTACTTCCTGCTTCTGTTCTTTTTTTCCGCCTTGATTAACCCCCTTCGATAGGGAAACAAATAGGGGTGACCGCACAACCTTTTGCTGTAGAATCAATTCTGGTGCATCGTGGCCCCAGAGGACTGAGTAGAACTCTCCCGTAGGGTTTCCAAGGCTGTAAATCTTTATGGAAGTGGATTGCTACATCTTTCTGGTGGATTTGAACCACCTACTTTTTGGGTTGCTGTCAAGCGCTTAGCCGCTGTGCCACCAGGGTTGGGTTCACCTCCTGGTTTTTCTGATGGTTAGTTAGCTGTGTAGCCTTGGGGCTGATAACTTAACCTCTGTCGCTCTGTTATCCTCATCTGGAAAATGGGAGTAAATCGTCTTGGTTTCATTGTGCTGCTATAACACAAGTGGGTGACTTTCATGACCAGAAATTAATTTTCTCACAGTTCAGGAAGCTAGAAGTCCAAATTCAGGGTGCCTGCCCTAGGGGATGGCTCTGTCTGCTTTAGGGGAAAAGCCATGTCAGTTTCTCTAGATTTGTGGTTTCTTTGCAATCTCCACGTGGCATCTGTTTCTTTCCCTGATTGATGCTTGTTTCTCTTTGTGTCTTATTTTTATTTTTTTAATCTCAAAAATCCCTAAGTGTAAGACCCACCCTCTATAGGTATGGCCTTATTAACAGGCCTCATTAACACAGAAAATTTTCCTAAATGGGATTATTTCACAGGGTTAGGATTCCAACACACATTTTCAGGGGACACAATTCAATCTATGATAGCCCCAGCTTCACAGGGTTGATGAGGATTGAATGACTGGATATATATTGCTCAGAACAATGCCCGGCACAAAGTAAGTGCTCAGTAAACGTTGTTGCTTGCCATGAAGTGGATTCCAACTCATAGAGACCCTGTATAGGGTTTCTAAAGCTGTAAGTCTTTACAGGAGCAGAAAGTCTCATCTTTCTCCCAGGAAGCAACTTGTAGATTCGAACTGCTGACCTTGAAGTTTAGCAGCCCAATGAATATCCCATTAGCCACCAGGGTTCTCAGTGAACATTAACAGTTTTTTTTTTTGCAGTTATTATTGTCCCTTTCTCTTTCAAGATTTTTCTCTTCTCTGTTCTCATCTCCTCTCTGTGCAGTCTTGATTCCATTTCTTACGTTTTTTACGTTTTTCATTGTTACCTGCCCCTCCCGCCATTGACCCTGACCTTCCCTCGGCCCCCAGGTTCATGTGTGCCCAGCTTCCCAATCAAGTCCTGGAGAGCATTAGTATCATCGACACTCCGGGCATCCTGTCTGGCGCCAAACAGAGAGTGAGCCGTGGTGAGTGACGTGGAACTCTTGGACTGAGGGAGGAGAGGGCCCAAGAGTCTGAGAGAAAAGGGGTTTAAAGGAAGCGGGGCAGGGTTTGGGGACTCTGAGTCTGAAGAGGACGTTGCTGAGGTCCAGGACTCTTGGATCTGAGGGAGGAGAGGAACTCCCGGAGGGTCAAGAGCCCTGATCTGAAGGAATCGATGCTGGGACCCAAGATCTCTTATAGGACTTGGGCCTGTGTCTTGGGAGCCTAAGCCGGCTGGGCAGAAAAAAAGGAGATCAGTAAAGTGGTGATTTTCATGTTGGTGCAGGGGGAGGCGTGTGGGTGAACACGTGTGAGCAGGGCTGGAACGGCATGTCCGGGCGGGTGGAAGGATGGAGCTGGAGAGATCAAGAGAGAGGGATAGAGATTCTCCGAGCACGACAGAGAAGCAGAGATTCAGAGGGTGGAGAGAAAGGCAGCGATGCCGAAAGAGGAGAACCCCAGCTGGGCAGGGAGGCCCCGGGCTGCACGTCTGGGCCACAGATGGGCGGGAAGGGGGGGGTCTGGGCGGGGGGCCAAGGCCGGGACTGGAATTTATAAACAGCTGCGCAGGGGGAGAGGCGGCAGGAGGTGCATTCCAGCGGGGCCTCCAGAGGGAGCCGGCCCCACCCTGCCCCCACCTCGCCCTGCCCCGCCCAGCATCCTTCACCCCAAATCTAAACGTGCCTCCACTCCTCCCCACTGGTCTCAAAGGCCAGGGACTAGGGCAAAGGAAACTGCAGAGTGGGGCAGAGGGGAGCGAGGAGGCAATCGCGGGGGCTGGTGACGGTGTCCCTGGCTTCTGCCCAGCGGGGGGGGGGGGCAGAAATGGCGTCCTGAAGGAGAAAAGCGGGAGGCAGCTGGCAAAACGATTGGGACGGCGCCCAGCCAGCCCCTGGGGGAGGTCAAGGGTGGACCAGCAGTTCCTGGGGCTCCCATCCAAAGGGCGGGGCCTAAGGATGCAGGCGGAGGCGGGGTCTCCAAGTCAGGACTGGGGGCTGCCACCACGAGGGAGAAAGAAGAGTAGAGAGTGAACAAGGAGAGAGCTGGCACATCTGTGTGTGTGAATTATGGTGGGTGGCTGTCCCTGTGTGTGGCATCAGTGAACACACATACTTACATGAGACTGTAAACTAGTAGGACCCTCTCCAAAACAAAACAAAAAAAATCTACTGCCAGAGTGACGCTGTGGATTAATGCTGCGCTGGACTGAAAAGTCCGTTTAAACCGTAGGTCAGCGGTTCAAGCTCACCATCTGCTCCTTAGGGTCTCTATGGGTCGGAACCGACTCAACGGCACTTAACAAGAGTCAATTCCGACCATATGGGATAGACTAGACTGTCAGTGTTTACCAGAGCAGCAGGCCTGTCTCTCCCATAGAGTCGTTGGTGGGTTAGACCTCCAACCTTAGAGTTAGCAGCCAGAGGGCTGGACCACTGCGTCACCAGGTCCATAGTGGGCCCCTCTTCCAGGGCTCAAATCTAGGCATTGCTTCTTTTATGCCATGGGACCTTGGGCAAGCCACTTAACTTCTGTGCTGCAGGTTCCTGATCTGTAAAACCGGGATCCTTATAGTATCAGCCACCTAAGAAGCCCTGGTATGGCACTGTAGGATAAACACTGGACTGCTTACTGGTGGTTCAAATCCACCAGGCGCTCCTCTGGAAACATTATACAAGGTCGTTATGAGTCAGAACCCAACAACAACAATAACAAACCCTAGTGGTGCAGACATGAAGCACTCAGCTGCTAACCAAAAGACCAGGAGTTCCAACACACCCAGTGGCTCAGCAGGAGAAAAGACGATGCTCTGCTCCCACAAAGATTACAGCCTAGGAAGTCCTGTGGGACAGTTCTTTTCTGTCCTATAGTGTCCTTATGAGTCAGAATTGACTTCACAGCACACAACAATAGTGCTTTGGCCTCATAGGCTGTTGTTTTTTTTATTATTTAAGGTTTTTATTGTGGATTGAGTGAAAGTTTACAGGGCACATCATCAGTTTCACATTCAACCATTCATATGACTTGTTTCATTACATTGATTATAATCCCCTCCATACATCATCAGTTAACAGTGTTTCTCTCTATCCTCTTTAGCTTTTTTTTTGGGGGGGGGGGGGGGAAACTTTGCCTTTTTGAAATTTACAGTCTCGGCTTTTAGGGAAGGTTTTTACATTTATCTGTGGATATCCAGGGCTCATGTATGCGATTACTAACAAGCATAACTGAATAATCAGATGAGGGACAGTTTGCTATGTCTGCTAGGTGGCTAAAGTCATAGGCTGTTTAAACAAACAAAAATCAAACTCCTTGCCATTGTGACTCAGACTTGAACTGCTTTATAGGGCTTTCTGGACTACAATCTTCATGGAAGTGGATAACCAGGACTTTCTTCCGTGGTATCACTTGAGGATGAAATTAGTTGCTTGTTGTTGTTGTTAGGTGCCATTCAGTCGGTACCTATTCATAGTGACCTTACGCACAACAGAACAAAACACTGCCCAGTCCTGGGCTAACCTCACAATCGTTGCTACATTTGAGCCCTTTGATGTGCCAATCCGTCTCATTGAGCGTTCTCCTCTTCTTGGACCCTCCACTTTACCAAACATGATCTCCTTTTCCAGTGACTGGTCCTTCCTGACAATATGTCGGAAATATGAAAGATGAAGTTTGGCCATCCTGGTTTCCAAGGAGCACTCTGGCTGCACTTCTTCCAACACAGATCTATTAGTTGAATTAGAAATTAGTTCAAATGTGAAAAATTTACAACATTATCAGGCAGAGTTGTTTTTGTTTTTTAGCATTTTCTTGTGGTTTGGGTGACAGTTCACAAAGCCCGTTCGTTAGTGTCACATTTAATAATTCGTGCACATGTTGTTTTGTGACATTAAATGAGTTCTATCAATATAACAGCTTTCTATGGGGCAGTTCCTCCCTGGGTTCCTTGCTTCCATTCAACTGTCTTTCCTGCCCCTTCCTGCCTTCTGGTCTCCTGTGGTTGATTGTTCAGAGGAGCACTAATGGGTGCTATTGTTCATTTTATAGACCTGTTTGTTGTGTGGCTGAAAAGTGATCTCCCAGAGTGGGCTCAGTTCCAGGCTTGAAGGGTGTCTAAGGGCTGTGATCTATCAGACTAGCAAGTTTGCTCTTTTTTACGATTTTGAATTTTGTTCGACATTTTTTCCCACTCTGTCCAGGACCTTCTATTGTGATCCTAATGAGAATAGTTGACAGTGGTAACCAGGCACCATCTAGTTCTTCTAGTCTCAAAATGGTGGAACCCGATGTTGGTGTGATCCATTAGTGCTTTGGACTAATTGATTCTTTGATTTTCTTCACTCTTCTTTGCTCCGTCCGGGTAGGAAGAGACTTAGATGACTGCTTGCAAGCTTTTAAGACCCCAGTCTCTTGTTGTTAAGTGTCGTCTAGTCGGTTCCAATGGGACTCTGTTTAGGGTTTGCCAGGAGTTGCTGGTAAGTTTGAATCACCTAGCCTTGTGGTTAGGTTCCAGTGTTTATCCTACAGCACCACACCCCAGTCTCTAGTAGCCTAGAAAACATTGTCTTCATGGACTATGTCATGCCACTTGGCCTAGGTGTCACCTGAAGCTATGTTAAGTTTAAAGGTTCATTATTTTTCTGTTAGTTGCACTGTGGGCTCCAGGGTTCCATGTTCCAAATATCTGTGTGCAGGGCTGGGTTCCTCTCTTCCAAGGCTCTTTCCCACGATGACTCAACCACTCTCCCTCTCTTCCCCTCCTCCCCTCCCCATGAGACACACTTTCCAAATCTGGGCTGGTTTGTGTTTGTGTAGGCACTGCAGGGAGGTGGTATGTGAAGAGTGGAGGCCCTCCCCCTAACTGCCGTCCCTTTGGTGACCTGGCCCTTCCTCCCCCAAAACAATGGCCCCCCCACCTCCACCTCATTCCTTCCCCAGTGGCCCTGGAGCAATCTGCTTCCTCCTCAGTGGCCTGAGGTCCCAGGACCAGCCCCCCATGAGACAATAAAAGCCCCTGGGGCTCTTCTAACCTCTGCTCAGCTACCTTCTAGCTGCGTGTCTTGGATACGTCTGTAGCCTCTCTGTGTATCAGTTTCTTCATCTGGAAACGGGTCTTCTAGGTTTGTTTTAAGGAGCCCTGGTGGTACAGTGGTTAAGACACCTGGCTGCTAAGTTAATGGTCAGTTAATGGAACCCACCAGCCTCTCCAAGGGAAAAAGGTGCAGTGGTCTGCTTCTGGAAAGATTTACAGCCTCGAAACCCCTGTGGGGCAGTTCTCTGCTCTATGGGGTCACTAGGAGCTGGACTCAGTGGCTATGGGTTTGTTTTGGTTTCCGGTTGTTTTGAATGCTCTTGGGTGCTGCAGATGGTTTGCACTTGACTACTAACCTAAGAGCTGCAGTTCAAAACCACCCAGTGGTGCTGTTGTAGAAACCAAGCCTGCCAATCTACTTCCATAAAGAGCGCAGCCAAGAAAAAACTCTGTGGAGGGCAGCTCTACTCTGCAAGCCATGAGGTTGGCATGAGTTCAAACTGACTCAATGGCACCAGGTTCGGATTGGGCTTGGACAGTTGTTTTAAAGACTCAACAAGTGCTAGCTGTGAGACCCTTGCAGGATCATCAGTGACCTCCTTTCCCCACCAGCTCCTCACTAGACATCTCCTCCTCAGGAAACCCTCACTGACTCCCTGGGTTGGGTCAGGCGCCCCCTTTGGACTCCCCTATCTCAGCTGGACCACTCAGGAGACAGGTCTATGTCCTTGAGAGCAGGGCAGGGGCTGTCTCTGCCCCCAGCACAGAGCAGGCAGCTAGAGGGCAGGGCACAGTTCCTGCCAGAGTGACACACACACCCCCTCACAGGGCTTGGCACAAACCAGAATTCACACTTGCTGGCCACTTACCATGTGTTCAGCACTGTGTTGTTGTGTTACTATTTGTTTAAAACAAAACAAAACAAAGACCGTTTTCTTGAGGTTTCATTTGCATGCCATAAAGCTCATCCATTTTAGGCATACAGCTGGCTACTAAATCAGACCATTGAGTCCACTCGGATAGCGTAGAACTGTCTCATAGGATTTCCAAGTCAGTCGTCTTTGCCAGATATGTCTCCCTTAGAGCGGCTGAGAGGTTCCAATCACTGACCTTTCAGTTCGCTTTAACCATGGCACCACCAGGGCTCCTCCTTGGATACCAGGCACTGTGTTACACGCTCTGTGTACTATCATTCATTTGTATTATTTTCATCATCACAAACCTCCTTGTGAAGTCGGTCTTCTTATGATTCTCATTTTACAGAAGAAGAAACAGAAGTTCAGAGAGGTTAAGTGACTTGCCAGGTCTCCCTTGGCTGCCGAGAGTCAGGGGTCTTGAAGGCTCCTCTCTGCTCTTCCAAACATCAATTGAATGCACGAATGACTTGAATGAATGCATGAATGAGGATATGACAGTGAAAGGAATGAATGAATGAACAACTGAACACATACATGTGCCAAACCCTGGGGTAGGTGTTCCATGGGAGCAGGGACCTTGTCTGTGTGCTCAGAGCAAAATCCCCAAGTACCCAGGACAGAGCCTGCCACCCAAAAGGTTCTCAGTAAATAGTGTGAAATTTGAAAGTAACGTTCAAAATATTTCACATCTGCTTTAGCCAGGACATAGCCAGGGCCAGGTATGAATTCTTTAATTACTGGATCCTGAGGAGATTGGGGAAGGACCTGGGACTTGAGAGGCACTTGTGGGGTTAGGAGTTCCAGAGGAGACTCAGGGAAGTCCCCTTAAGAAACACTTCAGTAATTTAACAACCTGTAAGGAGCTCTGGTAACACAGTGGTTACAAATCGGGCTGCGAATCGCAAGGTGAGCAACAACAACAACAAAGACCTCAGAAGAAAGGCCTGGTGATCAACTTCAGAAGAATTAGCCACTGAAAACTCTGGAGCGCAGTTGTACTCTGTACACATGGGTTGCCAAGAGTTAGAATATATTCAGAAACAAGGTTTATTTTTTTTAACCTTTTTACCATATTGTTTTGGTGACATAGCATAGCAGTTACGAGTCAGACTGCTAGCCTCAAGGTCAGTAGTTCGAAACTACCAGCCGTTCTGTGGGAGAAAGATGAGGCTTTCTGCTCCTGTAAAAGTTGACAGCCTTTAAGCCCTATACAGGGTCACTATGAGTTGGAACTGACTCCACAGCACACCACCATCATATTGTTGCTCTTGTTAGTTGTTGTTGTGTGCTGTGGAGTTGGTTCCGACTCACAGTGACCCTGTACAGGGTTTCCAAGGCTGTAAATCTTCACGGGAGCAGAAAGCCTCATCTTTCTCCCATGGAACAGCTGGCAGTTTCGAACTGCTGACCTTGAGGTTCTCAGCCTGATTCCTAACCACTACGCTACCAGAGCTCTTGTTAGTTGAACTTAAATCAGTCCCAACTCACAGAGACCCATGTGTTTGTTACAGAGGAGAACGACTCCATTGGTTTTTCTTGACTGTCATCTTAACAGAAGCAGATCACCAGAACTTTTCTTCTCTGGTGCCCGAGTGGGTTTGAACCACCAACATATTTTAGCAGTGAGCAGTTCAAACCCACTAGCCACTCCTCTGAAACCCTATATAGGATCACTATGAGTTGGAACCAGCCCCACAGAACTTAACAACAACAAGGGATCTTTTAAGGTGCACTGGTAGTGTTGTAAATACTGGACTGCTAACCACAAAGTCAGCAGTTCAAACCCACCAGCTAGTCCGAGAGAAAAAGAAGAGGCTTTCTGCTCCCATAAAAATTTATAGCCTTGGAAACCTTATATAGGGTCGCTATGTGTCAGAATTGACTCTGTGGCAGTGGGTTTTGAGTTTGAGGGACCTCTTAGGAGCCCTGCTAGGCAGTTCAAACCCACTAGCGGCTCCTCAGGAGAAAGACGAGGCTGTCTGCTCCTGTAAAGATTTACGGTCTCAGAAATCCTGTGTAGGGTCACTGTGGGTTGGAATGGAGTCCATAGCAGTGGGTTTGGTTTGGGAGGGATCTCTTAGGAGACCTAATGGCACAGTTGTTAAGCACTTGGCTATAACTGAAATTTTCGAACCCATCAACCACTCTGGGAGAAAGATGTGACTGTCTGCTCCCATAAAGCTTGCAGCCTTGGATCATAGAGAGCATGACATGAAACAAAAGGGACTGTGTGACTTTATGTTAATGGGAAAGGAAAAACGCAGTAAAGGGTCAGAACAATTGTACAAGTCAAAGAATATAATCAGTGTCACTATATGGTCCCTGGTTGAATTGATACGTGTTTTGTTGTGTATATTCTCAACAACAACAAAATTATATAATAAAACTATATTTAAAGAAAGATGACCACCTTGAAACCCCCATGAGGCAATTCTACTCTGTTTCATAGGGTCTGTGAGTCGATATCCATTTATAGCAACCCATTTTGTTGCCTTTGTTTAGGGACGTTTTCATAACACAATGCTAATATCTGCCAGATGAGTAAATGAATGAATGAATGTATGAATGAATGAAAAAAGGAGGGGTGTGCCCCCTCCCCCAGCCACATGCTAGGACCAGAGTGATGGGGGAAATGTGGGGGCTGGGAGTCCAGAGTGGTGAAGCACACAGGGGACCTGGGCTATTTGTCATAAACAAGGATTTTCATAGTTAACAACCTGAGCATGCGTACAGACCTAGTCTCAGTGCACTAAATGGCTGGGGCAGGGATGACCACTGACTAGAGCTTGTACTTTGCCGCTGCCACCCTAGGCTATGATTTCCCTGCCGTCCTGCGCTGGTTCGCCGAGCGTGTGGACCTCATCATCCTGCTCTTCGATGCCCACAAGCTGGAGATCTCCGACGAGTTCTCGGAGGCCATCGGCGCCCTGCGGGGCCACGAGGACAAGATCCGCGTGGTGCTCAACAAGGCCGATATGGTGGAGACACAACAGCTGATGCGCGTCTATGGGGCGCTCATGTGGGCGCTGGGCAAGGTGGTGGGCACGCCCGAGGTCCTGCGTGTCTACATCGGCTCCTTCTGGTCCCAGCCCCTTCTCGTGCCCGACAACCGGCGCCTCTTCGAATTGGAGGAGCAAGATCTTTTCCGTGACATCCAGGGCCTGCCACGGCACGCCGCCCTGCGCAAACTCAATGACCTGGTCAAGAGAGCCCGGCTGGTGCGGGTGAGCAATGATGGCGGCGGAGGGGCGGGGGCTGCTCTGACTGCGGGTCCCTAATGTTCTTCTAGCTGGGTCATTCTGGAGCAAAAGGGAGTGGGATTGGGTGGGGAGCCCTGGAGAATAATTTCTCTACCATTGCAGTTGAAGTTTCAAAGCGCTGTGGGCTAAGCATTGGACTGCTAACCTCAAGGTCGGTGGTTCAAACCCACTTCAGCTGCTCGGTGAGAGGAAGATGATGCTGTCTGCACCCATAAAAACCTACAGTTTCTGAAACCCTAAGAATCAGCTCTACTATGCCCTATATAGAGTCTCTTTGAGCCAGACTCAACTCAATAGCAGTGAATTGGTTTGTTTTTTGGGGGGAACCGGAGGATAAGACAAACAGTTTGCCATTCATAAAAAGGTTGTTGATTTGGACTCACCCAGGGTACCCTGGAAGAAAGACCTCTGGCAATCTTCATCTGTAAAGACCTTTGTTGTTAATTACTGTCAATTCAGTATCATGGCAACCTTGTGTGTGCAGAATTTTTAAGACTGTGAAGATGCCTTTGGGTGGATTCGAACTACCAACCTTTCAGCTAGCAGTTGAGTGCTTAAGCATTTCGCCACCCAAGGACTCCTCCATCAAGAGAACAACCTAGAAAATTCTAGGAAGCACAGTTTTATTTTGATGCACAGGGAGATGCCATTGGTTGGAATCAAGTGGATGGCAACTGGTAAACCATTCCAAGCCCGTTTTTCTGGCTTTGTGTGTGGGTCTCTGTCGCATCTCTTCTCTACCCTGTTAATTTTCATTCATCATCTACCACGATCAGTCTGGATTAAGTTCTGCCTCTGCTTACAACCTTCCCACAACTCCTGTCTCCAGAAGTCCTCACTAGGACCTGTGAAACCCCGCAGGACCTGTCCGCTGCCTTCCCAGTCTGTCCTCATCTCTTGCCCTCTCCCCCTTGCTCAAGGAGCCCTGGTGGCGCAGTAGTTAAATGTTGGGCTAGTAACTGAAAGGTTGGTGGTTCAAACCCACCAGCTGCTCCTGGAGAGAGCTATGGCAGTCTGCTTCTGTAAACATGACAGCCTTGGACGCCATAGGGGGCACATTATAGCTTTATTTGTTTAATGTTCACTTCCTGATGAAAAAGTACTTCTATGAGGAAAGGGACATTTTCTGGTTCCCGGCTGTTCCCCCCCCCCGTATCTATCTGTCTTCTAGGGTCACTAAGAGTCGGAATTGACTTGAGGACAGCAAATTATCCATATTTTACTCTGCTTCACCAAACTGGCCTCTCAACTCACTACAACACATCAAGTTCAGTTGTGCCACAGGACATTTGCACAAGATGTTTCCACCTCCTGGATTTCTTCACACATACCCCAATACCCACACACACAATTGTTGCTTGCATGTCAGCTTCTCAGGGAGGTCTCCTCCACTCCCTTCTTTGTGACTATCACTCTAACTGACCCACTGCCATAGAATCCATTCCAAATCATTGCGACCTTATAGGACGGAGTAGGTTTCTGAAACCTAAATCTTTACAAGAGCAGACAGCCTCATCTTTGTCACAATTACCTTCACTAGGCCCTGCTTTCTCTCTTATCCCTCTGCCTTTTTTGTCTTCATCTTCACCTCTGCCCTTATAGTCTCTATTCACTGGGGTCGTGTGTTTGCCATCAGTGTCCTTCACTGCCCTGGAAGCTCCACAGAGTCAGGATCCTTGGTCTTGTTCCCTCTGTACCTGGAACAGTGCCTTGCACAGAGGAGATGCTTGGTAAATATTTATTGGATGAATAACATTCCGCAAACACACTCAACAAAACCTCCTCTATGCCTGGTCCGGTGCAGGGGTGATGCTGAAGACACCGCAGTGACTGAGAGGCCCTGTGCCTGCCCTGTCGGGGCTCCTGGTCCAAAGGAGACTATGAATCTCTCCACAGTGAAGGCCCAGCCTGGTCAGGGATGGGAAAGGCCAAAGGGAGTCAGGGAGGGCTTCCTGGAGGAGGGGGGCATCTGAGCTTCAACCTGGAGGATGAGGACGACAAAGATGGGGCTAGGCTGGGAGACCAGCCAGTGCATGAACTGCAGGTGAGAGAATTGACCCAGGCAAGTTTGGGGAAGAGGACAGATGTCAGTGTTGAACCCCAGGTAGACAGTGTGAGCAACTTGAAACAGAGACTGCAAGGTGAGCAGGAGTCAGATTCACCCAGGCCTTGTGTACCTCAGTGAGGAGTTTGTATTTTGCCTGGAGGGTCCTAGGGAGCCATGAAAGGGTTTAGAGCAGGAAGGGAGGGGCCAAGGCCGGTTTAAGCTCCCTTCTGGAGGGTGATTGGGAAAGGGCAAGATTGAAGCCAGGGTCTAGGGAAGAGGCTGAGGACCTGGGTTAACAGGGAGACAGAGAGGCCTAGAAGGTTCTAGGGGGTGGAGGAACCAGAGGTGTTGTTTTTGGTTTAAGGAGCAGCTGAGAGGGTGAGTCAGATCTCACACCTCCCTGCCCCCCATCCCCCCCCACCTGCCCTCCCCAGGAATGTTCCTTGGAAGGGAATGACCAGGCTGCTGGGTCTGAATCTACCTTTTTTCTTCACCCTGCTCTGGAGTTCCTCTATTTCTCAATCCCCATTTCCTACTTTTTTTATTTTCTCTTCTCCCTCCTTCTCATTCTTTCTCTGACTCCCTCGTTTTTCTTCTTCTAGGCTCTCTGGTCCTTTTCCTCTTGTTTTTCTTCTTGTCTCTTCCACTGTCTCCATGTTTTCATCTCTCTCTCTTTTATTTCTCTCCCTCTCTCAACCTCTCGCCTTCGATGTACCTCCATCTTTCTAACTTTCTGTATCCCCTTCTCCCAGTCTTTCTCTTTGCCTCCCCCAGGTCCACGCTCTTATTCTCTCCCCTGCCCCCCAGACACAGGAGCGGGAGACCAAGGCCTGGGAACTGTGGGGCGGGTCGCCCGGACACCTGGAGCCCCCGCCAGGCAGGAGGCGGCTCCGGAAACCCGAACAAGCACGTAGTCCGGGCCCCCAGCCCACCCCACCCTGCCCTCTTATCTCTTCCTGGCACCTTCCCCCGCTTCCTTTCTGGAAAAGCCATCAGCAAAGCGCCCTCCGCCTCCCCTCTGCTGGGTCTCCAGCAGCTGCCCTCAGACCCCGCCCCCTCACCCCATTGGCCAACGCTTGCAGACCCCACTCGCCCACCAGGCTCCATCCTTGATCTGATTGGTCCCTCAGATGTACAGGCCTCTCTACCTATGAAGCCTTCTCTAGCTCCTAGGTGCTGCTCCAGACACGGGAGCCCTGGGCATGTGGCATTCAGGTTCAACCGTGACCTGGCCCTGTTCCCATCCGCCCCACACAAATGACTCTGCCACTCTTGGTTCAGCCATCACACAGTAGCCCAAGGCCTTTACTTCCCTTCATGCTCTTCCCAAATGGTATGAGGTTTTTTTAGTGTCGTAGTGCCTCAGTTTCCCTATCTGTACTATGTAGATAGAGGTTGGATGAATCCCTCTGGTTCTGCCCATTCGCTGAAGTGAAATCTGCTAAGAGGAGAAATTCCAAGGGGCTGTTAGTGGAGCCCCTGGGGTGAGCGAACTAGACCACTAGTTGAAAGATTCCTGGTTCGAGGTCACCCAGAGGAGAACAGGGCTGGCTAACTACATCCCCCCAAATAATCAGTCACTGAAAACTCTGGGACATAGTCCGCCTCTTATGGCAACTGATTTTAAGTGGAGCCGTGGTGCGGCGCTGTAGAATAAACACTGATGGAAAGGTCGGTTTGAATTGCAAGGCTGGAGATTCAAACTCACCAACTGCTCCTCAGAAACCCTATACAAGGTGGCTATGAGTCAGAACCTACTGGAAAGCACTTAACAACAATAAATGGAGGGCCAGAAAGCGGCCAAAATGTCCCAGAGCTTTCAGCTGAACTCTGAGGTGGCTCAGCGGTAATTCTGCAGAACCCAGTTACTACACGCCTACCACGGGTGGGGATACAATCGGAAACCGGAAAACGTTCCTTTCCTCATAGAATTACTTTTTCGTCAGGAAGTGCACATTAAACAAAGAAACCTATAATGTGATATCATAGATGATAAGATGCCCTTGTGATGCCATGGTTGTTAACCCAAAGGTCGGCAGTTCGAACCCATTAGTGGCTCACTGGGAGAAAGAAAAAGTTGAAAACTAAGAAAGTCCTGGTGTGGCGTGGCGCTGTGGGCTAATGCATCAAACTGCAAAGGTATTTGAATTGCAAGGTCGGTGGTTCAAGCTCATCAGCTGCTCATTGGAAACCCTATACAGGGTCGCTATGGGTCGGAATGGACTCGACAGAAAAAAAATCTGTTGCCGGGGGTGGGGGGTGGGGGGGTGTCAATTCTGACTCCTTGTAAGCCTGCATTAGAGTAGAACTACCCCCTTAAGATTTTCAATGAAAACAGATTGTTACGTCTTTCTACTGCTGGGTGGGCTTGAATCACTGACCTGTCTGTTGGCAGCAGAGCGCTTTAACCACTGTGCCCCCAGGGATCCTCCCATAAGGATTGTCGTTGTTAAGTGTCCTCAAGTCTGTTCTGTCTCCTAGCGACCCTGTTTGGAGTTTCCGAGGAGCAGCTGGTGGGTTTGAGCTGCTAACCTCGTGGTTCGCAGTCCATAGCTGATCCTACAATGCCACACCAGGAGTGAAAATCATGTGGAGTCATTCTGCTCTGTGACATGGGAACTTTGTATTTGAACATAGACTTAATGTGGCGCTGTGGGTTAATGCACTGGACTGTAAAATTGGTTTGAACCTCAAGGTCAGTGGTTCAAGCTCACCAGCTGCTCCTAGGAAACCCTGTACAGAGTCGCTATGGGTTGGAACCAACTCAGTGGCACTTAACAACAACAGGGAGCGTGTGACTCCATAAGACAAAATACTAGGCTGGATTACAAACCACAAGGTTGGAGATTCGAACCCACCAGCCGCTCCTCAGGAGAAAGATAAGGCTTTCTGCTCCGCAAAGATTTTCAGCCTCTGA